GGCACCCATCTGGGCTTCGGCTGCGAGCCAGAAAACTTCCCAGCCCGCGGGGACTTTGCCGACACCAAGATACACAACCTCCCTCCTCCGTTAATGCCGGAGTTCGATGCCTCCTTGGCCCAGCCTGAAGTCCTGCCGGGTCTGATGAGCTCTGCCGAGCTCCTCCATCCCCACCCCTCGCCCTCTGTCCCCCCCACGGACTTTTTGGGCCACCCCACCTCTTCCTCCATCCCTTCCCTGCTGCCTACCAACCCTCCTGCCTTGGCCGAGCCCAAGAAGAAGACCCGCCGGACCAAGTGCTCTTCCAAATGCTTCTGCCCGAAACCCCACGAGAAGGCTTTCGCCTGCCCGGTGGAGAACTGCATCCGGAGCTTCGCCCGCTCGGATGAGCTCAACAGGCACCTCCGCATCCATACGGGCCACAAACCCTTCCAGTGCCGCATCTGCCTGAGGAACTTCAGCCGTAGCGACCACCTCACCACCCACATCCGCACCCACACCGGCGAGAAGCCCTTCTCCTGCGACACCTGCGGCCGCCGCTTCGCCAGGAGCGACGAGAAGAAGCGCCACAGCAAGGTCCACCTGAAGCAGAAAGCCCGGACGGAGGAGAAGCTCAAAGGTTTGGGTTTCTTCTCGGTGGGTCTCTCCTTCGGGACACTGTGAAGCCCCAACCTGAGCGCTGGGAGACGGCGTTTCCCGAGGTCCCCCGAGCATCTCACGGGAGAGCCGGGGTGGGAATATCCTCCTGGGGTGGCCCCGGAGAAGATGACGGCGGATCGGGCCGTGCCAGGGAGGAGAGGGGCACGCGGGAGGCAGAGGCGATGCCGCGGTGCTGGACCATTGGCTGCGGAGAAGGGATGTGGCAGCTCCGGCCACCCGGAGCCATCTCCAAACCGCAGGGACTGAGTCATTTTTATAGCTTCTATTCCACAAAGGGGGGAAAAAAAAAAAAACAAACCATGTACAGAAAGAAATCCCCACTGAGATGGGTTTTTTTTAATATACCCAAACCCACGGACATCCTGTGTTTGTAGTGACCTGACTGTGCTTTCCCCTACCAGCACTTTACGCGGAGCTCCCGACCGGTTACCGGCCGGCACGGTCGGGGGCTGCGGCTGCACCGGTCCTTTCTCCCGAAGGAGAGAGATGCCGCTGGGCTCCGGCAACTGGTGCGTAACGGTCCCTTTGGAAAGGTGATGTCGTTATTATTATTATTTTCTTGTTTGTAAAAAAAAAAAAAAAAAAAAAAAAAGATTTTTTTTTTTTTCTCTTTTCTCTCTCTATCAGGAATATTAGAAAATTGTGTCTATTTTTCTAATTAAAGATTTGAACTAATCTAAGACCTTGCCGGGGTTGCTCTCTGCCTTTCAATCCCATATAGCAGCCGACGCCAGTGGTATTTCTGTTGCGTTTTTGACCTCTAGCTGTCGCGTATGGGGGGGGAAAAGGTCCTTAAATAATTAGCAGGGAGAGAAAAATCAATCAGTGCAGCGGGTGGGTTGGCGACCCTCCTCCCGAGCACCCCCAAATCCCCAGGGTGGGCAGCTCATCCCGGGAGAAGGGTCTTGTCCCAGGACAGAGTGGGGAAGGGATCCCCACTCCCTGCTGGTGGGTCCCCCTCTGAAAAGGGGGGACGTGGCCCTGGATTTATTCCGATGGGGCTGAGCCCTGGAGGGATCTGTCCTACTTGGATCCAGAGCCGTGGGGTCTGCTGTGGGGACCCCAAAGCCCAGCCTGGAGCCCCCACCTTGGGCTCCTGGCCCCCCGTGGATGCCCCGTGTGCTCTGGCAGGCTTCACCCGCGAGAAACGGGGTGACTCCGCATCCCATCTTCAACCTGGCCCTTCCCCAGGGCTGGAGAAGGTCCAGGCACCATCAGGCAGAGGCAGGCAGGCAGGATGCGGCCCCCTGCGAAGCCGGGGTGGGGGCTGTTTGCTCCCTCCCTTTTGGCTTTTTAGACGGCCGAGCGATGCCGTGTCCCTTCTCCAGGGACCAGCCAGCAGCTGGATGGCTCAGGAGGAGATTTTACAGCCTGGAAGGTGCTGCTGATAGCAGAGCCTCCCTCCTCCAGCAGTTAAAAATCAGCCAAAACCATATATCCCAAAAATCTCATCCTTCTAACAGGAGATGCTCGCTCGGATGGGGCATGCCGGTCTTTGCTTTTAATTAATTAGGAGGAGAAGGTGTGTGTGGGAAGGGAGGGAGCTGGGCAGCAGGGACAGGGTGGCACGTCCCTGGCTCGGGGTTCGGCGATCGTCATCAGTGCTCGGGCGTTTTGGGGATTAGTGGCCTTTTCTTGCAGAGGGGGAAACTGAGGCAGGGAAGGGCTGCTGAGTATGGCTGCAGATCTGCTCTCTCCGGTGGATTTTATCCCCTCTACCAGCCCTGGAGAAGGGGGATCTACCCCCCAACCGTGTTACAGAGGAGGGAGGTCTCCTTCCCCAGGTCCCCCAGCCCTTTGCCGGCACGTGGGCTGGAGCATCCTGGGGCTAAACTCCAATTATACCATGATCCCGGCAAAATCCACTGCCTGGCACCAAGCTTGCCGTGGGGTGAGAGGACCCTGTGGAGATGGGGTGGGAAGCTGGGCAGGGGACGTGGGGTCCCTGAGGACTGCTAGCAGGGATAGGACGGGGAAAGGGGGCAGAAGGAAATCTGCTTGAGGGGGAAATCCTAAATGTCCCCTCGGACCTGTCCCTAAGAGCTCACACCTGTGGTGGCACCCAAGGATGCTCATGCCCCTTGGGTGGGCACCCACTAGCCCCAAGCACTGCTACCCCAGCAGCCAAACAAACCATCCCGTGTGTGCCAGAGCCTGATCCCCAACGAGGACCACTCGGTGGGATGCAGATGACCCCAGGCACCAGGAAAAACCCTTTCTCTTGGGGGACACCCCAGATATTGTTAATAACGACCTCAGCACCCAGGTTTCCTTCAGGAAGAGGCGTCTTTTGGGCACCTCTCCGTGGGACGTCA